CGTAGCCCTTTTGTCAAACACTTCAGCTGTTTGATATACCGACCGTCAACTTGGCACCGCTAAAGAGGCTGTAGCACCGCCCTCGATGGAATCAAAGACTTTCTCATGGTCCACATACATAGTCAGAGAGTCAGATTGTACTCTTCGGACTTCTGTACAATTTGCTGAAGGGTATATATGTGGTCTATGGTGCTAAAGCCTTTTCAGAAACCGGCTTGTTCGGGAGGCTGGAAGTCGTCTAGTCTGCGTGCGAGACGATTCGTAATGACTCTCGACAGCACATAAACGCGGCTCAGAAAGGATATCGGTCTGTAGTTCTTCAAGATAGCGTTGTCACCTTTCTTGAAGAACAAGATCACCGCACTTCTGCCCACGCCTTGAGAGTAGTGCCTCCATGGAGGACGGAACTAAAGAGCTTCTGAAGGTCTTCAAGTACCGGTTTTCCACCCGCTTTCAGAAGCTCCGCTGTAATTGCATCCTCACCCTTGGAATTGCTGTTTTTAAGGTGTTGGAGTGCTATTCTACTCTCGTTCAGACTGACGTTCGAGATGTCATCGGAATAGTGTAAGATAAGACTTGCTCATGGATCGTTACTCACACTTGCGTGTGGCTCCAACGATGATGTGTACAGCTGCCCATAGAACCTCTCAATCTCACTCAAAATCTCAGGTGTCCCGGACACGTTGCTGCCACACTCAGTCTTCAGCCTTGACAGTTGGCTCTTTCTGGCAGAGTTAAGACTTTGGAGCCCTGGTTCCACTCAATCGCTTTTTCAATACGAGCCGTATTGAAGTTGCGTAAGTCCTGTTGCATGCATTTGGAGATCTGTCTATTCAGTTGCCTGTATGCTGCTAAATCTGCTGACGACTGTAGCTCCATCACCCGTCTAACATCCATGAGATTAAGAGTGTGATCGGAGAGTTTTTGTGTTGTTCTTCGGTGGGTCTTGCAGAGCTCCGACTGCGTAGACAGTTTCCACGAGCTTGTCATTCATATCGTCCACTGTGTTGCAGTCTTCTAGGCACTGAAAACGGTTTTGTAATTCGAGCTGAAAGTTTTCGGGAACCTGGTTTAGTACACGAGGGGGACGGAGCGTTGACTTCATTAGACGAGACCTCTCCAAATTAACGTTTAAGTTCAGTGTGCCTCTAACCATTCGGTGATCGCTGCCAGTTTTCACCCTCGCGATCACTGAGACATCACTGAACAATCGGCGTCTGGTCGTCATAATGAAGTCAATCTCATTTTTGTCGAACCGTCGGGTCTCGACCAGGTCCACTTTCTACGGGGCCGCTTCTGGAAGAAAGAGTTCATCATAAAGAGTCTCTCCTTCTCCATAAAGTCAGCCAGCTGCTGGCCCCTAGGGTTTCGTTGCCCTATCCCAAATTTCCCTTCCTTCAGCTCACCGCTTTCTCTTGTGCCTAGTTTTGCGTTGAAGTCTCCCATCAATACCGTGTAGTGGGTTTTGGAGGAATACATGGCTCTAGAGATATCCTCATACATTTCCTCCACCTCCTCATCGTTATGTGCCGAGGCTGATGCGTAAACCTGTATGACCTTCAGTGAATACCGTTTGGTGATTCTGTGTATCAGGTACGCTTCCCTCATCGACACACTCTCAATCTTTACAACGTTGTTGATGAGAGACTTGTGGACGATAAATCTGACACCTTCTTGGGACAGATGGTCGCCCTCCTGGTTATAGAACAAGTTGCCGGTCTCGAGAATTACCATGCCTTCCCCTCTCTTCGGACCTTGGATAATTCTATTATATGCCAGCGCAACTTGTTCAACTCTTCTTCCAGCTCCAGTATCTTCTCGTCAGTCCTCAGGGTGCGTGCATTATAAGTTACCAGGTCGAATCGTCGTACGTGGCAACCGAACCTCCACTGGAGATTCTTAGCACCCCCTACCCCGCCGTTACCTTGGTAGCCACCGTAGCCAGGAATAGTGGAGCTGGTGGGGACTTGGGGCCGTTTTTTTTGTGTTTTCACTCATGTTTGCCATAGTTGCCACGCTTGGCAAGCGGGTTTGCAACCGCAGTTTTTTATTATATTATTGTTGTTTTTAGGAAGATGCTGCTGCCCATTTCCTGCCTGTCTCCTTCTGTCGCCTCTTACGACAACAACGGGAAGATATGGGGTAGTAGATATTCTCAACCGCCGCCACTACACGGCAAAATTCATTTAGTTGAATTGATCTATCAACGTTTAATATAAGTGCATATTATATTGTTGCGCGCTATAATTTGCGCCTGGTATCTGGCGGCTGATTATTAGCGCCATCTGGTATCAAGCAGCAGAAATAAGAGCGTCAAGATCTTTCTAGAACTCTCCCACTAGCGCCATCTAGTATCGAATGGAAGAACTAAGATTTCTAGGAAGCCACACACTCGAACTTTCTGCACCTGGTCGGTCGGGGCCGGTATTTGCTAGAATATTCTGGATGTTTCGGTGGAAAAGCCTATTTAAAGCCGTTAAGGGCTGCGATCGGGGAGCGGTATTGGTGATACAAGCGAAGCTTCGGAGCGAAATAAAGTGAACTAAAGTGATCAGTGTGATTAATTATTAGTATGTTTAAAGTTTTAATTGGTGTTCGGCCATTAAAGTGTCAATTTTGGTAATTCAAGCGGCAGTTTTATTGTCGTGAACCCTAAGCTCGTAAGAATGTCACTCAAATAAAAAAGAAGAAAATAATGAAATTAGTATTATTTACTAATAAATAAATTAAAAATTATGTTTTTTTATAATTATAACAAATATAAATTGTTAATTATTACTGATTTGATATTATTTATTTTCTTAAAATAAATAAAATATAAAATTATGTGCACAAAATTTTCATGCTCCGTTTTTGACAAAAAGAAACATTAAAAATGGAGAAATATTTTATTGTGTGTGAATGTGCAAGTGGTTTAGCATCTGATCGGAAAAATAGACTCAAAATGACTTTTATTGACCGAACCTCGAGCGATCGCAGCGTCTCACTTACGGTGTCCATATTTCTGGACACTATTTTCTACGGTGATCGTTCTCCTGTTCTCTAGCCTTCATGGTTAGATAGCACATAATACATATACCCGTTAGATAGATTTCGCCAAATTGTAACATACAGCGTTGTTCGAGGTGAAAGTCTGTGCAATAAAAAAATATAAAAAGTTCTACAATATTTACACTCTGGCTACAGTGGCACTACCCATATTTAGCGCTTTTCTACGGACACTTTGTCATACAGAGTTTGTACTCCTTATTTCTACACTACATAATACGTAAATACAATAAATTTCGTAGACAGAGAAACCTATAGACAAATTGACGCCTTCTTTCGCATTCGCACACGAAAAAGATAGATTTATGCATACGTCTTGCATAGAAATGAGACAGAGTGGTGTGATAGTTTGTCCCTTTCTCTGTGCCAGTTTTTTTTTGTTTAGCATAGACTACACTTTGCTAACTTTGACAGTTCATACTTCATAACGATCTAAGGAGTTTACAAGTTGGTTTAAGTGAGAAAAAAGTGTTTTGTGAGCTTATGATTGGTGAATCTTGTTCAGTTCAGTTCTTAGAACAATTAAATTTTTTATCTAAATATGTTAAAAAGTCATAAAGATTAGTGTATAACCCTAAGGGTATTAGTATTCTGTGATTTAATCTCTCTGACTTGTATATGGATAGTTATAGTTTAGTTAATCTTCACAGAGTACTTTCTAATATACTGAATAGGCATGTCGATTCACTCTTAAAAAAATCGATCTGTGAATCGATTTGAATCGAAGGTACTTGAATCGATTATCGATTAAATCGAGGATTAAAAGATCGATTTTCGATTAATCGCGACTTTTTCAAACATGAAATTTCAAGAATTTTCAATTTTTTTCCTTAACTTCTAAACTGTTTTTATTTATTTTTTAAATATAATATTAGTAATCTTATTGATTAACATTACTATTATTCCTTTTAACCACTCTTGGTAAGCTTGAAACGCTTGTGTTAGGAGTGGTTCGCACATACTCCACTCGATCCCTTTTTTTTACAAAGTGATTCCACTTAACACTTTTATTTGACATTTTAGGCTAAAAACAACAACAATACTTTAACATAAGTGAAAACTGCAACGTACATTTCTCGATAAATCTGTTTCAATCTAATAACTCACTATTTATCATATCGAAATGAATGCTACACGAACACAATACTGGTTATTTCCTTACTATAAACCTCTATAAACTTTACAGTATCTAGGTAAGTATTTATTTACATTAGGTAGGTAAATTACTCTGTCTGTATTTACAGCTCACAGTATGTATATTTTTGATAATAAATAATGTAAATTCACAAGTTCACAGTTCAAACAGGTTCACAGCTATAATATAATATTATATTATAGTACAGGAGGTGAAATATAATACGAAAATATCGCTCGGTCGATCGAAAAAATATTTATAGTTTGAGATGTAATATATATTACATCTCAGTGGAAACGGTTCCATTTAAAAGTGCGGTGAGCGCTATTAATTTATATCTCGAGATGTAATATCAATTACATTATATCCCTTAGTGGAAAGTGGGCTTAAGAATTTTAGAAATGAAAATGAAATGACAACTTTTCGATATTGTTGGATGCGTTAATAAACATTTATTTTATTCAAATATATATTGCGTTCAAATTATCAACCAAGTACGACCGGTTGTTTTTGCGCCCCCAACAGCAAAAATTAAAAAACTGTGGTATCTTACCCCACCCAGTTTGGGAATTTTAGCTAGTTCTTGTATCAAATGAATCGGTCCGATTCAAGAGGTTTTTAGATCGATTCAGTGAATCGATGCGGTGCTTCGAATCGATCTAAAAAATCGATACTTTTACTCCAAAGAATCGATTTTTCGATTAATCGATTTTAAATCGACATGCCTAATACTGAAACTTTTTAATCTGTGTTTTAAGCAAAACAACACATGTTTTTGGATTGGATTGAAATAATATAAGAAATTTATCCCTCCGAAATGGTAACTACTTGTAAAATTCGTAGTATGCTCATTGATAGCCTAAATACGATTATTATTTATTTACTTACAGCCTAAGGCTAAGAAGAAATTTATAGATCGAAAAAAGGCTGTTACTTTCAACTTGGTACACCGATCTCAAAGGGATCCTCTTGTAGCAGATGAGAGTGCACCTCAACGTGTTCTTGTTCCAGTTAATGCTGTCGTACCACCAAGGAAAGAAAAAGAGCCCGTACGTACAGTTGTGTTCTCGTCATTTTAAAGTTTGCAGAAAATGTAGTTTTACAGTGTATGTTATAAATACTACCAATGAGCCACTTACTCAAATTTCACTTACGTAAATATACAAAATGTAATGTAACATTTTATATACCTGTTTACGTAAGTGAATATTATATTTTGTTTATGTTAAATAATATTTAATTATTAATCAAGTCAAGACAGTAGTAAATCAGGTTAATAAAAAACAACTTAATACTTTTGTAAGTTGTAAGAGAATAATTTTATTTTATTATTTAAAGGATTTGACTTTAGAACAGAGAAAAGAGGAGCAACGTAAATATGGCATCTATTTTGATGATGATTACAACTATCTACAGCATCTCAAGGACACCAAGGAAGTCACTATGGTCTTACAACCGGTAAGTAAATGAAAGATCAGACATGACACTTATATATGGAAACACATAAGGAAAAATTAAATACATAATTAATGTTGAAAAATTAAAAAAATGACCACAATGATGTGTAAAAGCAGGATTTTGTTGGTGTGTCTTGTAAATTCCTCAGCATCAACCAATTACGACATACATTTCGTTGGCCACTTTGGGAATGGCAAATCCTCTCCATTTAATATCAACAAGCTATAGAGAGGACTATGATCGTAGTTTCTCTGCCTAATAGACTTTGTAATTAAGATATATACAACATAGCTCACCATATCAGTAACTTAAAGTTGGCATTGGGCCTTTCATATAGGTTGAAGAACCTGCAACTGATGAGGAAGGCTGATACTTGAGAACAAAAGGTTCTCTGCCTTAGTTGGCTGCCTCATGCCTTTAAGCAACGGCATTCCCTACAAGATGAAAGTGACAATCTAGTAAGAGATGCAGAAAGTTGATGGATGCAGGTGGCTTTGGACTATGGTTTGTGGCATTCCTTACCTCCACCATGGCTGAGCACTGGAAGGGCTGCAATGATAATGATGATCATACAAATTTTTTATATGATGCTGATAGCTCCTGTGGTGTGGCAAGAAAATATTTTTACAATATGTGATTTAGAAAGCTGAAAATGCTTCTGCCCTAATATACTTTATCACTTAAAACTTACATCACTTAAATCACTTGGATTTGATATTATTTTAATCAAGAAGGGGCAAATATACTTGCGGCTAGGGTTGCAAGGTCTTAAAACTGAAAGGCCAGACAGACCAGCAAGTTTAGCCAGATATTTTGGTAAAGAGCCCAGACACCCTTATTTTTTGTCTTAGTAAAAGACATTTTTTTTTAATGAAAAGAATGCTATTTATCTTATCATTTACCAAAAAATCTTCTTAAGTTCTAATGATATAACAACAATTGAATAAATCAGTCTTATTTATTATTAATCATTCAATATTCATTACAATATTAATTTCAGTAATAGTAATACTATGTATGTAAGTACATGAAAAATGTAAAGAAATGGTCAAATTTAAAAAGCCTAACAAAAGCCGGACATGCAACCAAAAAGCCTGACTGTCCGGATTTATCCGGACGTCTGGCTACGCTACTTGTGGCTCACTTGGTGGTAAGTGTCAAATGCCACCCATAAATAACTGCATTACCAGAGAAATTAAAGGTGTCTTGCTAGTTTTTTATAAAGTAGTAAACTTGTTTCTTGAACGTCCTTAAATGGTAACAGTCAGGAAAATTTCAGTTGATAGACGATCTCACAAAGAAATTCTGCATGGAAGGAGACTTAATTATTTCATTAAAAAATTGCAGAAGGCCACACATAAGAAAAAAGAGAAGACTGTAACAAAAATAGACGACACAAAAGATATATCTGAAACACTCACCCTACCAAGTTCAGTGTTTGCTTCTGAAGTTGAGGAAGATGTTGGTCTATTAAACAAAGCCGCCTCACAAGGTATCTGACAACATCTTAAATAAGTAAATGACACTGTAATTTATCTTGACAGAATCTCTTGTATCTGCTACTCATAGCTAGGAAGGGTAAAAGAGCTAATATAATGACAAGAAAGTATATGTGTGTGACTATTTTGCTGTCAAAAAGTACATTTGATTAGATTACAATACCGATGTGGTAGAGCCATGCTGCAGTTATATTAGTAGTATAGTTGTAGCACAAATGGGTTGGCTCGACTGGAGAAGGACCACACTCTCACAGAATACCAGCGTAAAATAGTAGCTTAATGTTTTGTGTGGTGAGTGTAGAGAAATGGAGACCCTTTTTACTGGAAACAAGGCATTCCATTTCAACAACATTGTGACAACACATCTGCATTTTGATTCTTAATCGAGGATAGATGTAGATGTCTATGGGCCACAGAAACCACTTACAATCAGGTGGATTGTGAGCTCGTTTGCCACCTTATCCTATAAAAAAAAACATTCTGCTGCAAAATATCAATATAAATACAGGCTGAGAGGCATTTTGTCTTGGTTCTCAAAGGTAACACTGCATCTGTAGCCTTTTTTGTCTGTAGACTTTTATGGGAAATGAGTATTCATGAAAATAAAAAAATTACTATTGAAGTAGGAAAATACCCATCATAATCTATCTATATATATACAAGAGGTGAGGCAATTTGTCTTGGTCCTTAGTGACAATATATCTGCATTGAATAAAATTTAAATTTATTAAAATAAAATTTTAGTAATCATAACATATCTGCATTTTGATTCTTTATTATGAATATTTGTAGGTGGCTATGGGTCACAGCATCCATTTACCATCAGGCGACAGTCCACCTGCTTGATTGCCACACTTATTCCATATTATCTAAAAAAAATTATAGCCTATAATTTTTCCTTAGTAGTTAACGCTTACAGTCCAACAGTTATTCATCATCATCATCATTATTACTAGAGATGGGACGAATATTCATTTTATATTCGGTATATTTGGCAGCCTTACCGAATATTCGTATTCGGCCGAATATTCGGACATTCGTTTTCATAGTTTATATTGAAATGTACGAATTGAGTAATGCGATGTCTTTTACTGTTGAAAGTATATTTTATTTACAGGTTAAATGTACTTACTCTAGAGTGCCTCAAATGCATAAATCTATATATTTATATTTTTGAGGCACTGTAGATTTATTTCCGATTATGGCAAATAGAAACTTGATAAAATGTTTTTGTAATCAAAGAAAGAAACATTACATTAGTATATTTCACTTTACTTTGGTCGTCAGTTTCTCCAAAATAGTTTTTGTTTTTAATCATATAATTATTATCAATTTTCACAAAGAATAAAACAGCGAAATACTTTTTTTATCACAAGAATAGTCAAAACATAAGCATGTGCAGGCAATTTTCTCAGTACTAGATGATGCAATAACTGTCAGGTGTGGCGGGGAGCGAGAGGCAAGGTCCGGTGCTGATCCCGCGCGCTTTACGGTAACTAGTTTCGACATAAATTGATTGGGTCCCAAGGTTATCCTGCCGAATAATGTTCGGCCGAATATTCGGTTCGGTAAATATTTTACCGAACATTTGGTCGAATAATCGTATTCGGTGAAATCCATATTCGGCCCATCCCTAATCATTACAGCCCTTCACAAGTCCACTGCTGAACACAGGCCTCCCCAAAGGTATGCCACAAAATACTGTCCTGAGCCACCTGCATCCATCGACTTCCTGCATGTCTTACCAGGTCGTCACTCCATCTAGTGGGGGGTCGCCCTACACCTCGCCTACCGATACGTGGCTGCCACTCGAGAACCTTTTTTCCCCAACGGTTGTCGGTTCTTCAAGCTTTATGGCCGGCCCATTGCCACTTGAGCTTACTAATCCGTTGGGCTATGTCGGTCACTATGGTTCTACTGCAGACATCCTCATTTCTAAGTTTATCACGCGGAGAAACTCCGAGCATAGCCCTCTCCATAGCTCGCTGAGCGACTTTGAGCGTCCTCATACGGCCAGCAGTGAAGGACCACGTCTCGGTTCCGTAGGTCATCACTGGCAACACGCACTGGTTGTACAACTTAGTTTTCAGGTTTTGAGGTATACCTGATGAGAAGATGTGTCGTAATTTCCCGAACGCTGCCCAGCCGAGTTGAAGCCGTCGATTGACATCTCCGTCGAAGTTGGACTTACCTAGTCGGATTATTTGTCCCAGGTAAACATACTCTTCAACAACTTCGATCTTAGTGCTCCCAAGAACTTGTAGGACAGACATTAAACATGATCTTTGTTTTGTCCACGTTCATTTTAAGACCTATCCGTTGGGAGATACTTTTGAGGGCATTGAGCGTAGTGCTTAGGTCCTCAAGCGATTCTGCCATAAGGACTATATCGTCGGCAAATCGAAGGTGAGTGATGTACTCGCTATTGATGTTAATACCGTTTCAGTCCAGTAGCTTGAAAACGTCTTTCAATGCAGCGGTGAAGAGTTTCGGGGAAATAACGTCACCATGTCTTACACCTCTCTGCAGTTGAATAGGTTTCATTCTCTGGTTCTGCATCGGATAGCCATCGTAGCCCTACTGTACAAACACTTCAGCACTTCGATATACCGACAGTCAACTTGGCACCGCTGAATAGACTGTAGCACCGCTCAAATTTCGACGGAAAAAGGCAAAGTGGCAGACTGTACTCTTCGGACTTCTGTACAATTTGCCGAAGGGTATGTATGTTGTCTATGGTACTAAAGCCTTTTGGGAAACCGGCTTGTTCGGGAGGCTGGAAGTCGTCGAGTCTGCGCGCGAGACGATTCGTAATGACTATCGAAAACAGAACGTAGACGCGGCTCAGAAGGGATATCTATATAGTTCTTCAAGAGGGCATTGTCACCTTTCTTGAAGAACAAGACTACCACTCTTCTGCTCAACGCCTCCGGAGTACTGCCACCATGGAGGATGGAATTAAAGAGCCTCTGAAGGACTTCAAGTACTGGTTTTCCACCCGCTTTCAGAAGCTCCGCTGTAATTCCATCCTCGCCCGGGGACTTGCCGTTTTTAAGGTGCTGGAGAGCCATTCTAATCTCGCACAGACTAACGTCCGCGATATCATCGGAATAGTGTAAGATAAGACTTGCTCATGGATCGTTACTCACACTTGCGTGTGGCTCCAATGATGATGTGTACAGCTGCCCATAGAACCTCTCAATCTCACTCAGAATTTCAGGTGTCCCAGAAACGATGCTGCCACACTCAGTCTTCAGCTTTGAAAGTTGGCTCTTTCTGGCAGACAGATCTCCGACAAAGACTTTGGAGCCCTGGTTCCGCTCAATCGCTTCTTTAATACGAGCAGTATTAAAGTTGCGTAAGTCCTGCCGCATGCATTTGGAGATCTGTCTGTTCAGTTGCCTGTATGCTGTCAAATCTGCTGACGACTGCAGCTTCATCGCCCGTCTAACATCCATGAGATTAAGAGTGTGATCGGAGAGTTTTTGTGTTCTTCTGCGGCGGGTCTTGCAGAACTTAGCTCCGACCGCATGGACAGTTTCCACGAGCTTGTCATTCATATCGTCCACTGCATTCTTCTAGGCACTGAAAGCGGTTACGTAACTCGAGCTGAAAGGTTTCGGGATTCTGGATTAGAGCATGAGGGGGACGGAGCGTTGACTTCATTAGACGAGACCTATCCACCTTAACGTCTAGGTTCAGTGTGAGACATACTGGACGGTTGGTGTCTGGTGGTCATAATGAAGTCAATCTCATTTTTTGTCGAACCGTCGGGGCTCGACCAGGTACACTTCCTATGGGGCCGCTTCTGGAAGAAAAAGTTCATCGTAAAGAGTCCCTCTTTCTCCATAAAGTCGGCCAGCTGCTGGCCCCTACGGTTCCGTTGCCCTACTTCAAATATCCTTAGCTGAAGTTAGCTTCAGCTTACCGCTTTCTCTTGTAACTAGTTTTGCGTTGAAGTCTCCTCTCAACACCTTGTAGTGGGTTTTGGAGGAATGCATGGCTCTAGAAATATCCTCATACATTTCCTCCACCTCCTCATCGGCATGTGCCGAGGTTAGTGCGTAAACCTGTATGACCTTCAGCGAATTCCGTTTGGTGTTTCTGAGTATCGGGTACTCGACACCCGTCGACACACTCCCAATCTTTACAACGTTGTTGACGAGAGACTTGTGGACGATAAATCTGACACCTCCTTGAGACAGATGGTCGCCCTCCCGATGATAAAACAAGTTGTTGGACTCGAGGATTACCGTGTCCTCCCCCCTCTCTTCGGACCTCGGATAATCCAATAATATGCCAGCGCAACTTTTCTACCTCTTCTTCCAACTCCAGTATCTTCTCGTGAGTCCTCAGGGTGCGTGCGTTATAAGTCGCCAGGTCGAGTCGTCGTAGGTGGCAACCGAACCTCCAGCGGAGATTCTTAGCACCACCTGCCTCGCCGTTACCATGGTCGCCACCGTAGCCAGGAATAGCGGAGCTGGCGGCGACTTGGGACCGTTTGTTTGTGTTTTTACTCATAAGTGGATGTTTGCCATAGTTGCCACGCTTGGCAAGCGGGTTGGCAACCGCAGTTTTTTATTATATTAGTGTTGTTATCAGGAAGATACTGCTGCCCATCTCCTGCCTGTCTCCCTCTGTCGCCTCTTACGACACCCACGGGAAGATATGGGGTAGTGGATATTCTCAACCGCCACTACACGACCCAACAGTTATTAGCTTAAAAAAGTAGATAGTTCAAATAACTATGAAATAAATACGTATGTATATACATTTCAATTAAGAATTCATGAACATTTCCAAATCAATTACATTTTATAAAAAAATCAATTATGTATCAAAATGAATGATTTTGAATTTCAAACAATATAAATTAATTGCTTATCATAAAAATCTACATTTTCATTTATCATAATTTCATTATCGCTGCTAATAAAATATAATTATAATTAATTTAAATCAGTTAAATAATTTTACATTGTTAGTAGTTATTAATATTTGCCTACCTTGCTTATCTTGACAACGGCACCATCTCCCATGGCCAATTGTGAATTTAAACCATTCTTGAATCAACCACACACAAAATTTCATCAAAATTGGCAAACGCAGGAAGAAGAATTTAAAGACGTTATTAATATTTGATACATTTAAATAATTTATTTATTTATTTGACAAATTTTAGGATCAATGACAATAAATTATACAAGGTTTCACATTAATTATATGTTATTTTATAAACAACTGTCTTACATTACATACTACCGGTGTGGTTAAAGAATGGGATTGAAAATCGTGTCACCTCTATTCACCTCTCGCTCGCACACTGTCGCTATTTTTACTCACACACTGCGAAGTAAAGTAAAGTAAAGACTGCAAAAAATACGTCCCAATATTCGTTTTTCGGTATGTTCTAGAATTACAATCCAACTTGTTATTGGAATCGATGATAACAAATTCCCATAAACTACAAAAACAATCCAGTCTAGTTTTGCTAATATGTGAGCCACTACGCGTTCTGAGTTTTCTTCATAATTATTGTTGATTTTTTTTGTAAATATTTTTGTATAAACAACATACCATGACAACTTATCATCAGGTGAATTGTGTGGTCATTTATTACCCTTACAATTATAAAAACCGGCGAATGTTCGCCTTTCTAGCGCAATCTGTTTCTTCTGCGTTATGTAGGCCAGAGCCAGCCCTCTTGTCACCAGCGATGACGGCCTTCAGTTGAATAAGTTGTTTTAGATACTAGAACTGAAACAAACGTTAGTAAAATATAACTTACTTTCCCTTTATTCATCGCGTAATTGTCATGATAATGTTCAGACCACAAAAATACAGTATATGTTAATTTTATTGTAAATTGTGTTATACAATCACTTATAAATAACTACATTATATTAATACAAAGTTTGAATATTCTCGAAATATTCGTTTATTCGAGCTAAGCCTCGGAATGGTTAAACCGATTGTAATAAAACTTCACAAACAAATAGAGAGTAATACCAGGAGTGATTTAGACTACCGAAAAATTTAGAGATTTTATCAATAGAATAATTGATAAGATATCTTGTCTCATGTCTTTAAGAGGAGTATTACAAAAACCACGAAATTACAAGGTTTCCTCGTTGAAGTTGTATGTTTTCCGTTCATTGCTTGAAATAACAATTACTTAGTAAAAATAGTTCGTTTTATCTACTAAAATAAGCTCAAGGCAAATTTTAGATAACATTTATTTATTTAGTAATAACCATTCTTCTGATGCATGTTTAGGTCAAAACTCTGGGAGACATGATTTGGGAGCTCTAATTTGTAGAATGTATTGAATATCAACAATCAAAAAAATATTTTTATCTCACAAATATCCTATAGTTTAATAATGATAAAATACATTTTCGTTATATGCCTTTCATGTAAAAAAAATCGACATAATTCAATTATCGACCGAAAAAGCTTCGATACAAGCCCCAATATCTCCGAAGTTATACATCATTTTGACGTAAAATTATACCAAAATAATCATCAACATTTGCTTAAATTATACTATGATTTTTACTTTTTAAATCATTATTATTTTTTAATTAATTAAATGAGAGTATCATATATTTTACTGCGTCGGCCATCTGAATTCAGTAGCGCGCCATGCGGTTGTCGACGCCTGTGTAAATTTATTTTGCGCGCTCCGTCTCGTTTCGTAGTGTGTGCCGATTACCGTGGCGCTGCTATTTTGTCGTCGCATTGAGTTTGAGCATTGTCAACTACGCCCGCAGTATATTTCAATTAGTATAAAGTTCGCAGTTAATTATTGGTACCTGGATGACCGAGCTTTGCTCGGTTTTTTTTTTGAAATTTTGAAATTACGTTTAGATACAAATTACATACTGATGAAACATGAATAATATTTTTCGATCTTATTGACATAATAGAAAAAACTGAACTGATTATTTGAATAAAAAATCATGAGTGCAATTAGTTTAATTAAAATTTTCGTATTTTTAAAAAATACTAAAAAAAAGGGCTCGAAATAATAGATTTTCTAGCAAAAGAAGGGAACTTGAAAAAAAGGAAAAAAAGTTGGACCGAAGACAGGACGCAAACCCAAGGCATTACGATTTCGCGACCGCTCGATATCCACTTGAGCTATTACGATCATTAACACAGTGTCAAAATTTACCTTCTTATATTGTAGCAGTTTTTCTTTGCCCGAAAACACGGACAAAAAGACATTTCTAAAAATAAATCCTAGCTAGATCGATTTATTGCCCCCGAAACTCCCTGGACACAAAATTTTATGAAAATCGTTGGAGCCGTTTCCGAGATTCCGATTATATATATATATATATATATATATATATATATATATATATATATATATATAGCTGATACATATTATTATATTATTTATTGTCTGAAAGAGTTCTACATTGGAAAGGAGATAAATACAAATTATCAATGTGTCACTAAACGTAAAAAAGAAATATCCCATCTCTGGAGAAATAATAATGGAGAATAAAAATGTCTGCATGCTTGCCATATGGTCTGGTCCAAATTATGCAGTAAAAGTACTGAAAATCTACAAAGACGACAAATTTTGGATTTTGAATATGTTACCCAAGGTACAAGCGTTTATATAAAAGTGTGTACTGCCTGAAATTATAGACTCGAGATAAGCTCGGTCAATGCCGTTGCGGTTTTATAATAAAAAATATGGTAATTGCGAGTAAGTACCGATTAAAAAAATTACGCAGTTGCTGCCAATAGATATCTGCTGTAAACGTTTGGTCAGATTTTAGAAGGCTGTAGTGAACGACACCGGCGCTAGTCCACTAAACACTCACAACTAACTTTTTCTGAGTCAGTTTTCGTTTAGGGCAGGATTTGACTGGGTCTCCAGGGTTCAGCAATTGCGATGAGCGCTTCCGATCATCGTACAGTATCCACTTTTCATCACAAGTAATGATTCGATTTAAAATCCCTTCATTTTTGGGTCGGTTGAGCAAACTAACACAGCAGTTGACGCGTGTTTGCAAGTTCGATTCACTCAATTCATGAATGAGGTACCCATCGTTCAAGTTTTTTTACTTTTCCGATTTGCTTGAAGTGGATTAATACAGTTTTATCACTTACCCCGAATCCTGCAGCTATCTCTGAAGTGCTTTGTGATGGATCCACTTCCACAATGGCCTTTAATTCTTCATTTTCCACTTTGGTCTCCGGCCGTCCAAGAGGTTGGTTCTGAAGGTTGAAATTTCCAGAACGAAAACGTTGAATCCAAAAACGTACTGTGCTTTCTTTTGCGACACCAGCGCCGTACACATCATTAATCCTTCGAGCTGTTTCTGCAGCACTGGTGCTACGGTAGAACTCCTACTCGTAAACATACCGATATTTCATGTTTTCCATTGTGCGGTAGTAAGCAACGCCAAAGAAAAAAATAATGAGGATAAAACAAATGAATGACTGTTTTTTAAACTCAAATGTACCGGCTAAATGAATTTATAAATTTGAATTTGGAATTCTTAACCAAAGAGGAGATATTTCAGATCAAAGTGGTCAGTACGGCAAAACGCTAATTTCATATGTAAGGACCCAATATAACGTTATAAAGATATACCGTTATTCGCGGGTTTTCGCTATTGGTACTGTGCCTGTTGGCGGTGTGGGCTTGATTACTGCCATTTCTAATCCCATTCTTTATCCATATAGGCTGTATGTATAAGCACAAATATGATGGCATGGACAAGTATAATAATTCTCAAATAATATTGTATTTATTTTAAATATTATTTTTTGTTCTTTTTTTAGGTTTATGCCTTGATTTGGACCCCGAAGTTGTAGCTGCTCTAGATGACGACTTTGATTTTGATGATCCTGACAACCAACTTGAAGACAACTTCATTGAAATGGCCATGGGTGAAGGTAGAACATAAGTTAGCATAAATATCTCATTCTTGAAAATTCTTATCTAAGTTATCAATTTGACTGTTATAGGTGAGTCACCATGTAACATGTTTAAAAAAGTGTCTTAGATTCATTTACTGTGTGGTGTCGGCATAAGAATCAAAAAGATTTTATGAGTGTATTACTATGGATTATTTTTGTATTTATTACTTTTTAACCCAATAGGAGGGTATCCATTGTTTGTTACTATTTACGTAACCAAAAAATTAGGCGAGAGTAAAAAGAAAAAACAGGGTTTCAAAACTCATTACAAAAATCGGGTCGCTAATTATTTCGGTACAGAATGAGAATATAATATGGCCGTCAGCTTGACAACATCTGCGAGCCTCGTACCACAAAACTCTGTGCTTACGCCGGGGTCGATAAGCGACCCCCGTCACACAAGTTGCGATACTAAAGCGACCGTCGTTATTGCGAGACGTTATCATCAATATTTACCAACTTTCGCCGAACAGGTTTTATTTTATTTTTCATTTGATTTTATCATTTGAATTTCATGTCTTGTCTCTAGTCTAGGCGACATTAATTGCCAAAAAATAAACAGCTAATCTAATTAATGACCACTTTCTAATAAAATCGCAAGAAGCAGCAAGGTTTGAACACAGACCAGGTAAGATTTAATTGCACTTTTATATGGTGATTTATAACTTGCACGGCATTATTGAATTTGAAATTCGTGTGAAACCCCGCATGTACTTAGGAAATATAAATATTTTGGGGATGTGTGAAGACCATCTCAGAACTGGGTGTACCCCTATGCCTATTTTTTTCTCTCTTTTTAAAAAACTTTACCCCCACCATAGGATTTTCTCCAGTATTATGGAGGCAATTTACATACATAAATTGCACAAGGATATACATTCAGACATGGAACAACTATTGTAGGACATACATTTGTATACATATACATACAACTATTGTAGGACATAAAACGAATTTTCTATTTCGCGCGGAATTCGAATTCGCGACTGTTAGTGCCGCAACTTGATGCTAAGCCACTGCGCGATGGAGTAATTTTAAAGTAATTATATAATTTATATCAATTATTCTTTCAAGGTAGTTCCAGTGAATATGAAGATACTGAAAGTATGTCTGGTGATGAAGATACGGAAAAAGCGTTCGCTTCTGAATTCGACTCAGATGATGACACTGATTCACAGGTAAGTCTTTTATATAAGTCCATGATTTGACGTTAATATTTTTTATGGTAGAGAAACCATTGGTACCGGCTTAGCCCAACCAAGTAAATAAGAGCCTCCGCCATGCTGTATTCACGAAAGTAGTTTTAATCACTACCAACAACTATTTAACTTGGCAACAACAATTTAACTTGGCAAAATGTCTAGTAGAGCCTGTCAAGTATTTCCTGTCGACCGTTAAGAATGTGATTAAAGGAGACGGGCGATTTTGAGCCTAACGTTACACAAGTGAAATATTTGTCAACATTTTTTTACAGCTTTTTTGTAGTTAATAATGAAATATTAAGCAGTTTTATCATGGCAAAAGAAATTAAATATTTAATAAAAATAATACTGACTTCCGTTATTTTCATTTTTAAACAATGCTGCCAGATGAAATAGGTTAGTTAATCGATTTTAATAGAAAAATAGAAAAAAACAATAAAAAGTTATTCATTATTTTCTTCCTTTGTGAAACTATAATGATTTCCTCGTGACACTTCAACGTTTCAAAAAAGTCGTAAAAATAAATTGACTGAATAGATTAATAAATCGATTTCACAATCGATTAACAATGTTTTATACAGGCCACAAAGCGGAAATGTCAACGTTAGTTCGAAAACTCAAACGTCAATCAAATCATTTGTAACGTTTGTTTGGATCTGAGCTTGCGGTGGTATTGAATATTTTCTGTTCTTCTTGTGTGCTGTTGTTCTGTTCTTTAACGACTCTACGTATAAAGGATTTCGACGGTTTCTTTTCTTGAAAAATACATGTGCAAAATGATGAACTTAAATGATTTCCCCCAGCTCACACATGGTGATTTAATAAAAATATCTTTAGGTATTTATCAAATTAAGTAGACTACAAAAAACATATTTTACATATATTTTAGTTGACAGTTCTTTAAATAGTAGAGAGGCCATCAAACAGTATTATTTTAATTGCTTGGTAGGAAAAAGAACTGTAGGTTGCTGTTGTCACGTAATGTCATAATATTGTAGCTGGGCAAGGCATCAAGAGAATTTAATGACCGATATTTTTTTGTTTATGATGAAGTGGACGATTAATAAATCATTAAAAGAGAAAGTATTTTTAATTCATACACCCTCTGTTTTTTTATAATTATTTCAAACCTCTAGATTTTACTTCGACGGCGGCGTCTGAATCCTCTATGTGTGAATGTCCTACAATACTTAAAATTATGTTAAAGTCTAGTTTACAATAAAGTCTAATAATTATTTTCTTAAAGTGTAATGTGAGAGCTTGGTGTAAGAATAACATTGTGAGCATAACGTAAGCAATAACATTGTTTTGATACAAACCAAGAACATCCTATATTTTTTTCTGCCATGAAGCAGTCGTAAAAATTTTAGTTTTTTTAAAATGGTATTGGTATATAAATAAAATAATGCAGTAACCGTTACTATAACATCAGGCCCAGCTTTCTATGAACTTTCGCCCGTCTCCTTTCCTATGTCATTAGTTTATTAAAATCCCAGGCAAAAATGAATAGAAAATTATACCTGTTTGATGTTGCATATATCTGAAGTATTCGATTCTATAGTATTTAATATGATAGAATTTGGTATGATAGTGAGGTGGACTAATATCGGCTGTTTTATGATTTCTTTTAAGTATAGACAAGAATTTACTTTCGCCGATTTTCCATACTAAAGATTATGATATCTTATGTTTACGTGAACACTACACATTTAAGTGAACCTAGTTTTTACGGATTATATCGCGTATATTAACATATTTTATGTTCCCAACGTTTCGAGCACAGCCCCCCATTCGCACGGGGGGGGGGGGACTGAGATGTTCGACGTTACAATGTCATAGTTAACCACGGCTACCTCCAGATTAAAATTATTAATTTTTGTTCCGATCTACGCAGTATGAACTTATAGTATTTTGAAGTCTTGCAGTTGTATGCTTGGGTTGGGATTTAATTTTATTAATTATAATATCCTAAGCAGATGGTAGCACCCAAACATCTTCTCTGTTGAAATTAGCATGTTTTTTGCTTTCAGTAGCCTCGCAAATCATCCTTGGAAAGGATCCTTGGAAGATTTGTTCACAGTCTGCACACTATGTACAAGTTCGGGCCATCAGATTTGATAGACCACAAATTCTCGCAAAAGAATACCGATTCCTTCCAAGGATGATTCGCGATGCTATTTAAGTCTTATCTTAATTTCAATATAGACGCATACACTGCTCACTCAACGTAATGAGTTCCTTGATCCTTTAGCCATCGAGTGCTGTAATAAAATTTTGGATGAATATGATAGATATCTAGCTGCAACACCAAACTGTATCTCTCGATTTTGCTATCATCAGTTTTCTTAATTGCCTCCCGCTATAAAGGCTAATTCAAAGAGGGTTTTACGTGGTAGAGCCATGCTGCAGCTATGTTATGGTTGTAGCACGAATGGGTCGGCTCGACCGGGGAAGTACCACGCACTCACAATACCGTAGCAAGTGTAGAAAACTAGAGACCCTTTTTACTGGAAACGAGGCATTCCATCTTAGTTCTCAAGAGTGCCAACGCATTTGCATTTTGATTTGTGACCCTTCAATCCCCATAAAAATCCCATGAGAACGCACCCACCCACATCACTTAAAACCATTAAAACTTATATTTAGAGACTACTTTTCTATGAAGAAGTTTGGCATTATAAAATCTATACAAAATTCTCTATCCTGTGGTCTAAACAAAAGTCAGATTTTACTTAATTACAGAAAGATTTTATTGTATTTTGATAGCAAAAAAAAACATATCAAGCGAATGTCGGCAGCGTGAAAATCACAAGTATTTCAATATATATTACTCGAAATTATTTACGTAAAAAGATAAATTTATATTCACACAAAAACTTTTATTACAATTTTATAATCAAACACTGTAGTACTAAAACACTAATAAAATCCAAAAATCAACACAATGACAAAATGGCGTACGAAATGAACGTAGATTATTAATAAATATCTTTAGGATAACCAACTTTTTATTGCAAAAGAAGATGTAAAATTTCATATTGATTCTATAATGCTAAACTTTTTCATAGAAAAGTAGTATATATATATAATATATATAAGTGCTGTGGGTGGGTGCGGTCATATTTGACCGCTTGAATTTTGACGGAATATCGTAGCGGTCAAATTTGGCCGCTTGGTGTTTGAGAGGTTAATCGAAGGTAGATGTAGATATCTATGGGCCGGGCCACCTATAATCTATAAAAAAACCTTAACATCTAAAATATATCTCTATTTTAACAAAGAAAGTGTGTAAATTATCGGCTATTTATAACTTTCATTTTCTATAAGGGACGTGGGAGACCCAAGATGCCGTCATGGACCGATCGCGACAAAGATGATACAAAATCACGTTTCTCACAATACTCCATGTCTTCCAGCGTGATTAGACGGAATGAAGGTCTTTCTTTGCTGGATAACAGATTTGAAAAGGTAATTTAATATTTTTTATTATTTATATTAATTTCTTATATATTAATGGGTTATATGTGTTATGGTCAAAACTTATAACCGATCAAAATCTTTTTTGACTACAAAAATCAGGCAAAAGAAGTTTAGATTAAGGACATTGGTCAATATCACTTTTGAAACTGCAAAAATATTTGGTAGTAGTGATTTTGACCAAATTATATCGGTTAAAAGTGGTTTTGACCAAGAATGTTGGGCAAAACTACCTTTTACTTATAGTTTTTGAATTTTTAAATTAAATTAAAAGTCAATTCTAAAATTATATTTTATATCACTATAATGGACGCGGCTTCAGAGTGGCCCAAGGGCCACCCTAGTCGCACTTTAACCTACTGTCATTGCGAGTTTTTACCGATAGTCTGAGGTTTTAATCAGGCAAAACCGTTTTTGACTAAGGGCCTCGGTCAAAACCATTTTTGCCTGATTTTCGCAGTCAATAGTGGTTTTGACCGGTTATGAGTTTTGACTGGTACACACACACACACACACACACACACACACACACACACACGCGCGCGCGCACGCACGCACGCACGCACGCACGCACTTACGCGCACACACGCGCACGCACGCGCACACACGCGCACACACGCACACACACACGCACACACACACACACAACACACACACACACACACACACACACACACACACACACACACACACACACACACACATAGACATACACACACACATATATACTCGGTGGTAGGACTCCTTTATTATTAGATAAATGATATTCATTCTGTAAATACTAGGAACAGGACACAAGCTGGTAGTACCAGTTACTCGACCCCACCGTATCAGTAATTAATTCTTGGGCGATGTATACTCTTTTACAACAATATCCCAGAAAATATACAAAATTTGACATACACAGAGTTCAAAAACTTTATTAAACTAAGTTTGTATAGAAAGGGTTATTATAATATTAAGGAATTTATAGATGATAATAATCCCTGGGAAGGGTGATCGCTACCAAACTATTACTAATTTGTTTTTTTGTTGTTAATTGAATCATACATGATTGTAAGCTATTATTTTTTTAAACAGTCCCGCTGGGTTACTTGCTGGTTCTTTCTAGGGCAGAGGCTTTTTTGTGAACCAGTGGTAAATTAAAAAAAAAAGTGATTTTCAAAAAGTATTGTTTATAATCCATATTGAATAAAAAATTTCTGTTTCTGATAGTTCCTTCTTAATATGCATTTTTAATTAATTTTTATATTTTACATTTCATTTATAACTTTCATTTTCATAAATTAATTAATTCATTACTACGAATTGACGGCTCCGTGGCGCAGTAGCTAAGCAATGAGTTATAGCGCTGAGGGTCGCGAGTTCTATTCTCGCACGGAACAAGTATTTGTATGGCGTACAAGCAACGACTACACAGCCCAAATAGATGCCTCATGAAAGGCGACCACTATCTGTTAACACGTCAGACAAATACGTCTTACATAAGAAAACGAACGCACGATCTACTTTAGTTTCCCTGACCCGTGAACTTCTTGCATGTGACTCGTGAATTTTCGACAAAATAAAATACAACAAACGCGCAACATGGTTCCCTATACAATAAAATGAGTGCGGAAATAGTAGCCAAATGTGTAATTTAAACAAAATGGCATCACTTTTCATAGATAAGTGCATTTTAATTTCCAAATTCATTAATTAAAATTAAATCAGAGCTCAACCTATATTTGTCACAAGTAATTCGCGTTGATTTATTCGGACATCTTCGGATATTTTCGGACTATGCATCCCTTTCTTTTCAATGCAGTTCATTGTTGCTATACTTTTCTTTAATTACCGGCACGCGTAACTAGTGCTTGTACCAGTTACTACAGTATTGGTACAAGTAAATATTATGCATGTTATCGTGAATATTTTACAGACTTATACTGTAAGCGACAGGTGTAAGCTGAATTTTTTTAGACCATGTTTGAATTAATTGATTTAATAATTAAATCAAATTATTCAAAACTTCTTAAAAATAATTCATACTAAAATTGATATAATTTTTAATAGACGGCACTCCGCTCTCTTTACTGCTAAGACGCCATGTCAAGACAAGTACGAAACGGAAGTGAACTTGACAGTATTATATAACTGTTGCTATTTTATTTTTAATAGTATTCTATTATTATTTCAATATTCTAAAGAAAGCTTGTATATTCTTTAAAACAAAAAAGTATAGTTATTTTACTAAATACGATACCTACTTAAATAAAACTTCTTTTGTTTTATTTTTATTTTGTACTAATTTATAGTAGAATATAATCAGGCGGGGTACACTTCCATACTTTAGGTTGGGGTTCAATAATTTGCAAAGACACTAGTGCCATCTTGTACTATATCCCCATAAACTTTCGAACATTCTAAAAGGTGCGCTAGATGGCGACTACACCAATTCTGGTTATTCTGGAAATGGCAAGTAGCAACTTTATATGATATAATGGCTACCGGCGCTGAGCAAGTTGTTGTTTTATTATAGTTTATAAGTGATTTTCGATTGTTGCTACAATAAGTTTGGTTGAGTTGCGATTAGCCCTCTGTTTCTTTGTTGTCTGTTTAGATTTTCATGCTGGAACCACATTGTATGTTTGTGTAGTGTTGTGCGAAATAGACGCTTTCATTTATCATTCCGGTAACCCGGTGGACATATTTAATTTGGTTTGGTGTTGTATTTTGCGGAATAGACGCTTTTACATCGTGTATGTTAAATATATATAACAAAAATAAATGTTAATATTACTGAAATCTATAATACGACCTTAATTGAACCCTAATCCCTTAAAATATAAATATACCTGTAGTATAGATAGCTGTATATACATAACTACATACGGCTATCTATAGTCAACATGATATTGAGATTAGTTCAAGGGATATGATACCAGGCGGCGACACTATTCATATTGGGTGACAAAAAATCCTAGGAGATGGCTCTCTATTTCTGTATATATTACTCTACTATACTCTATGAATATAATTCTGGTACTGATTAAGTAGACTTGGTACCAAATTTATTAGTTAAAGTTCCCAACACTATTTGCTTATTAGCAAGTGTCGCAACCTTGATTTTAACCAATTAGCGTGCATTTCAACCCGCCTCCCCCGTACCTCTTACCGCGTACAGACTTTTGACAGACAGGTTTGGATTCAGAAATACATACATTAGGCGTCTATGCGGGCTGTGTAGTCTTTGCCTACAAGTAATTGTTCCGGGTCTGGATGTTTGTCCTTGTGCAATTTATGTTTGTACACTGCCTCCACGATACAGGAAAAACCCTTAAGTGTGGGGGTAACGTTTTAAAAAAAAATTAAATTTCACTGCTCATCACAGACCCCTTCCATAGATTGCCTCATAGGTGAGTTACTGTAACTGGATACACTTGCTGTCTAAACCTTGTTCGAACGTAACCTTTTTAGATGTTCGCGGAATATGACGATACAGAGCTTGGAGCGCTTGATCTGGAAGAGATCGAAGGTTTTCTGCCAGACACGCACGATATGCTGCTAAAAGCCGCCGAAGAGTTTGAGGAATCGCAGATGCGTTACAAACTCGACAAGGAGATAGAGATCGCGAGGTACGTTTATATTTAGTATCTGATTCATGAGTCTTCATCATCGTCATCATTATCATCATTAAAACTTCACTAGTCCACTGCTGGGGACATAGGCATTCGCTAATAAAAATGCCAAACAGTCCAGGGCCATAAACTTCTTTTATGGCCATAATCTTAAACTTTCACACTTCTGACACGCCTCTCAGAAATGAGAGGAAACATCTCGGCACGCCGGCATCGCTCCCCGAAGTTGCTTGCAACATCAAACGACTGTTGAAATTCTTCGGGGAGATTTCATGTCTCGAATAATCACACCATTCCTGCTCACACGTAAAATACGCGTTTAGACGTGGAGTTGTGGAAAAGAGCCTGTCGTAAACTAAACTAAACTAATGGGAGGAGACCTGTGCCTATCAGTGGGACATATATAGGCTGTAACTTTAACTTTGACACACTTCTCTTACTTCTTTCGTTTTCTTTTATCTACCCATACATAGCTGTCGGTAATGCGTAATCTTAACTTATCCCATCTTCAACATATCGTCATGTTAGTCGAGAAACTTCCGTCTAAGGGGTTCCTTGGCACTCACTTCTGCAGCATAAATGTCAGCCAAGTTCAACACGAACCATTTCCAACCACTGGAACCCTTTATAACTCAAAACTCTTAGACATACACGCTTGTAATTTTGTATCCAATAAAGTCTTCTTGAATATCTAGAATCTTAAAATATCTAGAATGATGAATAAACTGATTATATTTTTTATAACATTGGGTGACAAACGAGCACACAGTCCATCTGATGGTAAGTAGATGCTGTGGCCCATAAACATCTACATTTATCCTCGATTAATAAATAAAATGCAGATACGTTGTCACCCTGAGGACTAAGATGAAATGCATCATTTTCAGTAAAAAGGGTCTCCGGTTCTTGACACTCACACACACAGTAGCATTAAGCTGCTATTTTACGCTGGTATTCTTTGAGAGTGTGGTCCTACCCCGGTTGAGCTATTCGTGCGTATAGCGTGGTTCTACCACATATAAAACATACAAATAAAACATTTTGAGCAAAATGCCGCGCTAGTGGTTATTTGTGAGGTTTTTAATAGCTATATACTTGTTATTAAAAGGATATATCATTTAATAAAAAATCTATTAAATTTCTACATAATCTTGATTCCATAGTAGCCAATTCCAATTTATTTTAAAACTAGTTAATACTTGATGAATATTCCTACAACTAAACCACAGAAATGCGAAATAATTATTGATAACATGAATCTCCTCATAAAGTAAGCATTATTTTATTTTGCGATTGACACTAAAGGTTACGCAATTTATTAATGAACATTTTTATCTATTTAATTTTTTTTTAAAGAAATAAATTCTATTTTATAAAGAAAATATTTTAAAATTTGTGCATATTTCTTACGCGATATATTGCAGCGAGAGCGCGTGGAATGTATAGGACGGAACGCTAAAGGTCGTTCGCTAGGAGTAGCGTCTTAAGTTGCAGCTAGGTTATTTAAAAACTAGAAACAAATAATATAAAAAGATACTCTGTCCCGAACCTTCTCTACCGATATTCGGTTTACTTTTTAATTTAATTCATTTAGTCTGGTAACTGTAAGCGCAACTGCTGTTCATACTCGTATGATCCCAGAAGAGATAATTTGAGTAAATTTTTATTTCTAGAATGCAACGTCTACAAGAGATAGAGGAAGAATCGGAAGAGGAACTTGTGGAGGTGGAAGTTGAACCGAAAGAGAGATGGGACTGCGAGACAATATTGTCCACATACTCCAACCTGTATAACCATCCGAAGCTCATCGAGGAACCTAAGGTATTTCTTCGAGATTATTTTTAAATTAAACAAGTGACAAATAAACTTCTGTCCACCTGATGGTAAGTGGCTACAGCCCATGGACACCATGGCAAATAATAATATTGTTGCGCGCTATAATTAGCGCCTGGTATGTGGCGGCTGATTATTTGCGCCATCTGTTATCAAGCAGCAGAAATAGAAGTGTCAAGATCTTTCTATAACTCCCACTAGCGCCATCTAGTATCGAATGGAAGAACTAAGCTTTCTAGAAAGCCGAACTTTCTGCACCTTGTCGGTCGGGGCCGGTATTTGTAATATTCTGGATGTTTCGGTGGAAAAGGCCTATTTAAAGCCATTAAGGGCTGCGTCCGGGGCAGTAGTATTGATTTGGCCATTCGAGTGAAACTTTCGAAGCGAAATAAAGTGACCTAAAGTGTTAAGTGTGATTAATTATTAGTGTGCTTTAAGTTTTAATTGGTGTTCAGTAATTAAAGTGTCAATTTTGGTAATTCAATCGGTAGTTTTTATTGTCACGAACCCTAAGCGCGTAACAATATCTACCAGACCGAACTTTCGGTTACGGTGACCAGTCTCAACGTAGAGTAGCCATCTGCACAGGACTGAATTATAGTGTAGGAGTGTATGCTCAAACACAGACGCACACTTTATTTCCTCACTCTCATTGTCCGATGGGACGGTTAACCAGAGAGTTATAAATAATGCTTATTGAAAGTTACTTTTTTATTTAACACACACAAAGCAAGGTCTTTAAAAAAACGGCTTACCATCATGTATGTTTCACAATTAACAACACAAAACAAATCAGAAATAGCTTGGTAGCGATCATATTTCTCAGGGGTTATTATCATCCATAAATTCCTTAATATTATAATAACCCTTTTTATACAAATTTAGTTTAATAAAGTTTCTAAACTATCTAATTCACGAATTGCTACTAAGAATTTTTTGCCTAAAAACCCAATAACTGAATTTGGTCCAACCCGGGAATCGAACCCATGACCTCATGATCAACAAGCTCGTAAACATAGTGTTAAGTTACTCAGAGTTTGTCAAAAGATATTTTTCTTACTTATTTCAGAAACCGAAGAAAATAGCAATTAATCCAAAAACTGGTATTCCAAAAGACACTCTCGGCAAGGACAACAAGCTTACGATCAAATCACTGGCAAAATTCAACGCTCAGAATGAAGAGCTTCGAGAAGGTTCCGATGAAGATGGCCGCACGCAAGCAGAGTCTGTTTTATCCACCCTCAGTGTACTTTCCATAAGGTATGAATTCAGTATTAAGAAAGGAATGCTTTGGTGGTTTAGACACTTAAAAAGAATGAAAGAGGAAAGAGTGACAAAGCAAATTTTTTATGCTGTAGCAGTGAATGCCAGAGACGGCAAGGGTTGTTCTAGATGAAATTTTATCGACGATATTGACAGTATATTGAAGATGGGCCAAATTAATAGTGCCTTTATCCAACGAGCATGTATGCATAGATATGTGAATGTGAAAGAAGCTGAAGTGGTGTGTCAGAGTCGTGCCGAATGGTAATCCAAAGTCTCTGCCCGTCCCTGCGGGTGATGGGTGTGAGAGTTTATGTTACATGTTATGTATGAACACATGTTAGTTTTTATTTCAGTAGCGACAACATCTCGTCATAAATCATATCATATGGTCACAAAGCATAAATCGACACAGTTCTAGCGTTACTCTATAATTAATAATGTGCAGTGATGCCCTTCAGACCGAATTTCGTTCACAATGCGCAGTCTCAACAGAAACTAGCAATTTGCACAGGACACGATTATAGTGCACACACTCGTGCACTATAATCCTGTGCACACTAATCCATCAATCTCAGTCATATATGTCGGCAATCCGACATGACTGGAGAGAGATCAGGCGCAGGACTAACGGCTTTACTTTGGGCTGCTATTTTAAGTTCTTGTGGGAAAAAAACAATTATTTTTGGCCCGACTCGGGACTCAAACCTGTGACCACACGTGGTCAGTAATTGCGATTACGATCATTAGACCAAATAAGGAATCGTTCGGATTCCAATGGATAGCACACGCTAGGGAACTCCAAGTCTAATAATAAAAGAGGAAATAAAATTTCTAATTTCATACACTTGAATGTTTTAAATGTGTGCAATACTGGTAATATATAGTGATGCAACGAATACTACTTTTACGAATACGAATACGAATATCAAAGTTACTATTCGGCGAATACGAATATCTCACTATGATAATGAAAAACTGATTTATTAAATGATTTTCTAATGTTCTAATAATTAAAATATACAACAGGTAGTTTTTTATTAAAAAACAAAATTTGTAGTTTTTCTGATTTTAGGCGACTTCTTTTTCAGTCTGGATGTTCCCAGCCGTTGAAAAAAAGCCTTTCCGAAGCGACTGTACATGGTTTCAATGAAAAATATTTTTGGGCGAGTTTTTTCTGCCTTGGAAAATGGACATTTCGCCAAATAAAAGGCCAATCAGAGGCAAAATTTAAGACTTCGTATTATTGAGATTTCTTGAGATAATATCGTTGATTCTTTGCTTAGCTCTTTAGTAGCTTCTTCAAAATTGGCCAGGATATCAATATTTTGGCTCATAAGAGCCCATTGCCTTGTTGTGATTTCATGACGACGATTTGGTAGAGATGGTAAAACATCTTGGATCGCTATGCGTTATTCATGTAATCTCTTCAACATCTGATATGTTGAGTCCCATCTAGTTTCAACATCTTGAAACAAAACAATTTTCGGTATATTGTTAGCTTGTTGAGAATCTTTCAGTTGTTTAAGTATTAAAATAAGTAATAACTTCACTGCCTTTGTATAGCCGTCGTTGCGGCTTAGGGCCCATGCACACGTCGTTTTTTTTATGCACCGGCGATTCGCGTTCAGTCTGCCAGTAATTTTGAGTTGCGTACAAAAATATTAGTTTTTAAATATTCGTGATTAGTATTCGCCGAATACGAATATTCGGTAAATGTCTACTATTCGGCGAATACGAATATTCGTATTCGTTGCATCAATAATCGTCGACTCGATTATTGATGCAACGAATACGTCGTTGAATTAATCGACCTCACGTTGATCAGCAATGATTTAATTTATTTGTGTATTTTTAGACCAAAAGATGAATCGCCAGAAGAGAAAAAGGAAAGAAAACGCCTCCTCAAAGAATACCGGCGGGAGAGGAGAGTAGAGAAGAAGGCAAACAAAGAAGCATTTAAGGAAGAAAAGAAACGTCAAGAGAAGATTATGTTAAATAACAGAAACAATGTTCAAGGCAACAAAATATTTTAGTCTAAGTGTAAACATTGTTCGATCTTAGTCAATTTATCTGTGACTAAATATCATTTATTACAATTATATTTTACACTATTTAAACTGTTTTTTTATTTAAATTTATATATAATATTATACTGGTTGCGCCGAAACAAACAAATATCTGCATTCGTTCAGTTGGTTAGTTTATTATCTGGCAATATCCTTCCTCTTCACTTCCGATTCCTTCCTACTCGGGCACGCCTCCAATAGAAGTAATGGTGGTTAATATAGCGCATAGCGCCATATTATAGCGCGCTATCTCTTCATAACACATGCGCGTGTTATGTAAGTAGTCGCCATGGCGCTATTGCGCTATGGCGCTTTGGCGCTATCAAGTGTTAATATCTAGCGGCAATTAGTTCTAGGCAGCAGCGCTGTTGGGAGAGGACGTTTGACGTTTTTGCGCGCTATTCATCGCACGCGACCTAATTTAATATTAGACGTTGTTTAGTTAGTGTATACTGTGTATTTATAAATGATAAAAGGACACAGTTGTGATAAAGAAGCCTAACTAATGTTTTTAAATGTAAATAAAATATAGATACAAAAGTGTATATAATAGTGTATGTAAATAATTGATTTTTATAAATACAGTAAATAAACTTAAATACACCTTTATTTGATTTACAATTTATATTAAGGTTAAAATAATGTTTACATTAATTATAATAAAAAATCGATTCTAAAAATAAAACCTTTCCCTGAAAAACTTTAATGTAATTCATATAAACGCCCAAAGCATTCCGGCTCATTATCCCGACATGCTTGCGTCCTTTGAATCCCATAACATTCACGCCATTCTAGTCTCTGAATCTTGGTTGAAACCATGTTTGCCATCCACTTCTTATTCATTACCAGGATTCCATCTTATTCGCAACGACCGTATTGGAAGGGGGGGTGGAGGTGTGGCAATCTATCTCCGTTCTTATTTACCTTTTGCGGTAGTAAGCCTGTCCCCCCAACCATCTCCTTCTAATGCGGCTGAGCATCTCTTCATTGAAGTAACCCTATCCAATACGAAAATTCTTCTTGGCGTTTGTTACAGTCCTTCTCTTCATATTGACTATTTCTCTTCTTTCGAATATTTATTAGAAAATTTAATCCCATTATATACTCACACTATAATCATGGGTGACTTTAACACATGCCTACTCAAGGGTGACTATCGGTGTGAAAAGCTAAAATCATTAACCGAGGCATGTAATCTACATATATTACCACTATCTGCTACGCATAAAATGCCTGACTGTACTCCATCACTACTTGACTTAATTATTGTATCCTCTCCAGATTTTGTCCTGAAGCATGGCCAGCATGACGCTGATCTCTTTTCTCATCATGATCTCTTGTTTCTTACATACAAAGTCCGTCCTCCTAAAGCAAAATCGAGAATCCTTCTGCAACGTAATTTTGGTGGAATGGACAAAGAACGTCTTCTGGAAGATGCTAGTCGCATGGATTGGTCAGCTGTTGAAAATGCTTCAACAGTCGACTTGAAAGTCGAGTTATTTAACTCCTTTCTTATCCAACTTTATGACATCCATGCCCCAGTAAAACCAATAAAAATGAAACATTTACCTGCACCTTGGTTAACGGATAGTTTAAAAAAACTTATTATAAAAAAAAGGATTTGCTAAAAGTAAGTTAAAAGCTGATAAATCTGAGAAAAATTTACGATATTATAATAAAGTACGGAATCGCTGCAATACATTGTGTAGGGATGCACAAAGACGCCATATTCACAAATCCGTCGAAAACGGCGACGCAGCCAAAGTTTGGAAGTTTCTACAGTCTCTTGGAGTTGGTAAAACATCCAATAATTCTCCTCATCATAATGTTGATGTTGAATTCCTTAACAAATATTTCGCCTGCTCTAGCACATTAAATAGCTCAGATAAAGACCGGACTCTGAGTATTCTTTCTTCAATACCAACTCCTGATTTTTCACCGTTTAATTTCTCTCCTTTCACTGATAGTGATGTTAAAAAGAACATTTTGTCCATTTTCGTCCAATGCCGTGGGTGATGACAATGTTAGTCGTAACATGATCCTACCTATCCTAGAATTTGTTACTCCTATCCTCACCCATATCTTGAATAAATCCATCTCCTCTTCAAAATTTCCTGATGTTTGGAAAAGTGCACTTGTAACGCCTCTCCCTAAAAAAAGCCCATGCTTTGCATTTTTCCGACTTTCGTCCTATCTCAATTCTCCCGTTTTTATCCAAACTCCTGGAGAAACTAGTTTTCTTTCAGTTAAATCTCTACCTAAATAGAAATTGTATCCTGGATCCTCTCCAATCTGGTTTCCGATCGGGTCATAGTACGACAACAGCGTTGGTTAAAGTTACCGATGACATTCGACGAGGTATGGATAACAAACAGCTCACTGTGTTGGTATTGCTTGATTTTAGCAATGCGTTTAACACTGTTGATTTTGACATCTTATTGAGTGTGTTACGTTCTATTAACATATCTCCTCCGGTGATTGGCTGGTTTCATAGTTATCTTTATGGCCGACGGCAGCGTGTTCGCATCGAAGATGAGTTCTCATCTTGGTGCGAATTACGGGCTGGCGTGCCTCAAGGTGGTGTGCTGTCTCCTTTACTTTTTGCTATATTCATTAATTCTATCTCTCAAAATATTGCTTCTCTCTATCACATGTATGCAGACGATCTCCAAATCTACACTCAGTCAACTTTGTTAAATCTGCCTTCTGCTGTTGCCACCATCAACAATGACTTAGCGGCGATAAACCAGTGGAGTCAGCGTTATGGTCTAAAAATTAATCCGTTCAAGTCCCAGGCTATAGTTATTGGTGGTGGAGGGATGGTCTCCAGAGTTGACTGGAACAACCTACCCTCGGTGACATTAAATGACGTTGTCATACCCTACAGTAAATCTGTAAAAAATCTGGGGATATATCTAGATTCTACCTTGTCGTGGTCGCAGCAGTTAAAACAAGTGAGCAAAAAGGTGTTTGCTACTATGGGTTCACTTCGTCGTTTACGTTCTTTTCTCCCCATTCCCACCAAGATTATGTTAGCACAATCCTTACTTCTCTCTATTCTCGATTATGCGGACGCAAGTTACCTCGATTTAACTGAAGACCAACTGAACAAACTTGAGCGAATTCAAAATATTGCAATTAGGTTCATATTTGGTTTGCGCAAATATGATCATGTATCCGAATATCGTTTACAGCTCAAGTGGTTACCCATTCGCTTTCGCCGGAATTTGCAAACTGTATCTCTTCTGTACTGTGTGTTGTTCAATCCTTTGACTCCAAGCTACTTAAAGGAAAACTTTAAGTTTCTTGGTCATGATCGACCTGATAGAGTTCTTCGGTCAGCCGGCGAACTAATTCTAGAACCATGTTCATTTCGAACAAAATTTATGAAATATTCTTTTACGAGCCAAGCCATAAGGTTATGGAATGAACTTCCACTCCAAATTCAACGAGCACAAACTTTGGAAAGTTTCAAAAGTGACGTCAAGAAGCATTACCTAACACTTTGTGGTTATTGATAACCAATTCTAGCAACAGATTTATATTTATTTATTTATTATCTATGTATACATATGTATGTGTATATATTTATATATATAAACCTATTTATTAATACGTATGTTTATTTTATTATTATTATTTTTTATGTATTATTGTGGTATTTTAACAATATATAGTTTAGTTTATTTAGATATTAAAATGTAAGTGTAACATAAAACGCACCACCTCCTACTGTTCTTAATTCCAGTTTCTCCTTAGCCCAAAGGTTGTCTGGAAGAGATCGCTCTTTAGCGATAAGACCGCCTTATTGTACATACGTATATATTAAGTTTCCTCTGTAATGTATTTATTCGTTGTATATGTGTGGTGTACAATAAAGTATATATAAATAAATAAATAAAATAAAATTAATTCTATTTTAAATAGTACATAACTTTAAAATATTTTTAGGATTATATAAAGTAGTAAGCCTGAAAAGTATGAAAACGCGTGCATTGGTTTTTCTTTACCGTTTTACTTTATTTTAGTCTAAAATGTTTTATTACGAAAACATGCATTATTACGAAATAATGTTCTTATATAGCACGCGATCTATCCAATGAACGACATGTAATGTAACGTGCTAAGAGATATAGCGTGCTGTAAAACTTACGCGCTTACCGGCCTCCTACACGCTTTCTTATAAATAGCGCGCTATAACATAGCGTATTTAATAGCGCGCTAGAAATTTATAGCTTATGGTCTGTAGCGTGCTATTGATTTATAGTCGTTTTGAACAACTTTAAATAGAAGGCTAGACATGGTAGCGTCATTCTGTACGGGCAATGAGACGCGCTGACCAAAAGTGAAAGGGCCCGATGCACGCCGCCGGCTGACCAGAGATGTCGACGTGCGCCGCCGCCGAGCAGTTGAAGCTCGACCTTAGATGTGGTAGCACCTGTGGCAGTTGAGCCACAGAACAGAACAATTTCGTAGTGACCGCTAGCACTAGTGCAAATAATTCCTCGTCGCGCACCGCCGCAGTTGTAACTCAGTGCCATCAACCTCGAGGCTTGAGTAAGAGGCCGTCAGAAGACCAAGTAAGTGCCCGCTCCTAATTTTTGAGCTATTCTCATTTGTTGTTTTTCCTACAGCAGCTCATGCTCCTGTCACGCCAGCTGATATAAGTAGTAAAGTAAGTCGCAGCAAGTGCATTGTCCAAAACCCGCCACGTGCCACGTCGACCATCTTTGTTTTGGTTATAACTAACTACGTATATGCATTGAATAAAACTAAATTTACGGATTTTATCGCGTTTATTTCACTACTTTTACTTATTTTTAATTCCCGACGTTTCGGGTGCTTTACAGCACCCATGGTCACGGGGGGGGACTGAGATGTTTGACGTCCCAATGTCATAGTTAGTCCGGCTACCTTCAGTTTTTGAATATTAATTTTTGGTACGATTTACGCAAAACGATCTTACA